CGATCATACCCGTTAGAGCCTATTATTTATTTCGAACATGGCGAAATCTCTTTGATCAACACTCGGAAGGGGTGAAATTAAACATATTCTAGTGCAAATATTGGTATTTACTTTATTATTAACGACGATTTAGTCCACTCACTACTTTTACTTTGCTATTAAATACAAAATGAAATAAACTTTTGTTACCGTCTGTCGACGCAGTGCTTGGCGCTTTTGGGGGTTGGATCCAAAACAATGCTACGAGTAATCGCAAAAAGAAATGGTATATTTACAACAAATGTATATTAATTAAGTAATAAAATAAGTTATATTTTACAAAACAACTATACATGTGTAAACATCATCTTTTAAGTATTTGTTTTTTTTTTCATAACTGATGGAAAGGGATGTTTTCCTAAATATTACGTAAATGCTTGAAATATTTATGAGATATCTTATAATTATAACAATGTTACACAAAGTTATTATCTAAAATTTAAAATAATAATAATAATAATAATAATAATAATAATAATAATAATAATAATACACAATAACAATAACATATATACATTTTGATTAAGTTATAAGCATAATGTTACTTCCTGAATGGAATATACCGCAAGTATACGAATTAAATACCTGTGGTTGTAACCTGCAAAGAAAATTAAATCACATTCTGCATACGGAGTAATACATTTAGACCCGATTGATTGCAACACCCCACGTGACTATTTCCGCTAAAGATAGTTGTTACTTCATTTCTTTAATAATATATTTCAGAAAGTGTACTTGTGTAGTGGAACATTTTCCTTTTATTAAAAACCCTAACGGCGTTTTACTCTCAAAATAACAAATCCATGCCCATATACCTTAGTTAATTTAATTTAGTATGGTTTGTACTAAACACTAGAGGTGCTACTACAGCACGTTCTTTCTCGTCCGAGTAACGGTTACGTATCTCTATAATGCTACAATTTCTGCCATTTTTAACATATGTTAGTAACTACTTGTTAAACGTATAACAAAACGTAGAACATTATGTGCGAAACTTAATTCTTTTGAAGCTAACATATCAATTTAAATTCGACAATAAAACTGAGTTTCATACAGCCAATAACATCTCCCGACGATGAGAAGGAATTTTAAGAATTTCAAATTGCCAAGTCGCGTCACGATGTTGCTGCCTTACCTATATTATGCAGTATGCTGAACTCGCGAAAGACTCCAGCAAATAAAGCGAGTCATATCAGAATTTGCTAAATTCGAAGATTTACAAAGAATGCTAAATGACTGCTATTTTTTTATAAAATGCACATGACCTGTTTTAAAGATCTGATTTTTATAACAAATTTCATGTAATAAAAACCTTTATCATCAATGTACTTTTACAATGCAATTTTTTGTAATTTTCGAATAGACAATGTACCAGCAAAAAGTACGTATATTTTACACAGATGTCATTAAAGAAAAAAATAATTTTTGTAATTGCAGTAAAAAAGCGCCCAATTTTTTTTCAATTTTTGATCATTCAAAGAAGTCAATGAAAATGCGGCATATGCTATTTCTTTACGTATCTTGTCATCTATCAGAGGAAAATATTTTAGGAAAATAAATTGGGAGCCATTTGAGAAAATTTTTAATGTGTTGAAGCTTTACGTAAAGTAACCCGCAAAAATCAAAACGTCGGTTTCAAATTCATCAACGAGATGCATCGAGGAATATCAGTTTTGGTAAAATTCCTGATACGTATTACTCACTAGGATTGTTCACAGACAGACGGACACGCTAATCCATATTTTCGGTATTAATGACGCACAAAACATAGATTCTGACTACAAGTAATAGAAGTAATTTACAATCTGTAGGAGAGATTTATCGATTTTTTCGTTACTAAGGCCCGGTAATAATTGTTTTTCTGTCGAGAAATCGCGTTTTTT